CGTCCGATTTCTGATTCTTTACACTGGAGTTTTGCTAGGAAGGATCACTTCACAGCCAGTATGGAGGAGTATTAACTAAGATCTCTTTCAGTAAAGGCATGTGGGTATTGTTTAAGACAACGGTGAAAAAAAACATGAGCTATCATTTAAGGTGCTCAGTGAGGTTTCTGTGTTTAAAAGAAACCCGATAGCTCACAGACAGGCGAAATCAAAGCCTGTGGGTGACTCATTTGGATTTTAATAGTGGTGAAAAAAAGTGCCAGCCCAACAAAACTGTCCATATAGGCGAAGAAGTGGGAAGGCAACTGCTATTGTTCTGATTCAAAGGATTTTTATTTTGATATCTGCTATAGAAACATGTTACATAAGTATGTACTGCTAATTGTTAAATCCTGAATGTGTCATAGATCGTTTTGTGGGCATATATACAGTAAAGAAAGTGTTACATAAATCTCTGATGAAGAAAGTGTAACCTCCTCATGGTTTTTTGTCTCGGTCTCACAAACATGAGCCTTGCTGTGGAAAGACACTGGTTATAAAACTGAGACGTGAGTACTGATAACCCTTCTTCCCTAAATGGTAATGACTCAAAGGCTTTTTTCTATTATAAACACACTTAACAGAGGATACTCACTGCATTAAAATAAAGCCTTTACTTATTTTCAGTTGTGTGCAGACTGTGACGTGTCTGTACTAAACACTTGTAAAATGTTCATCAAACTAGACTCCACTGATTTTTCTTCTTCCATTTTCTTTTATCTTCCTGTTAAAATCATAGTTTGTTCAGGGTTTTTAATGTGATCATTTAATGGGATTTAAAATGCAAAATCCATTTGCTGCAAAGACAAATATAGGAAGCAGGAGAAGATGTGATCAAACTGGACAGGAAGTAGCAAACGTCACTGATGTTACCGTTTGTCAAAAACTAACTTAAGACACTGGGTGCAGTCTTCAAAAATATGAACTGGAAATGACATGTCTCCATTCGTTCACTCTCAACCCTCAGTCAAGCACTCACATGCACACACATCTCCATGGAAACTGATAATAAAAAAATAAAAAAAATAGGTCTGCAACAAAAAGAGACTGACAAAGCATATATAATGTAAGAACTTGGATGATCAGCAGAAAAAAAATTTGGAATAAAGACAAATCAGGGAGGATCTGAGGGACCCAAGCAAAACAAAAGAGGTCATCAGTCATGGAATATGCAGTAAATGTTTGAAGAAATGAAACCACATGAAGAATGTGATCCTCATTACAACGCAGCAGAGCCAAACAGTAGAGCCTAAAATGCTCTCAACCCAATTTAACTTTCAGTTTGCTGCTTTTGGGGTAAAATTACAGGCTACACATTCCAGCTGAGTGTGGTTTCAAACTGAAAACTGCCCACTGCAACAATGCACATTTAACAGAATGCAAACCAAGCACAAAAATTCAATATCAAGGAGCACAAAAAAAAACAAGCAGAAAAAGTGAATATGAGGACTGAAAGTTGCACGGGTGTTGCAGATAGCAGAACAGAGGGTGGGCAATAGAAGAGGGGAGAGGACAAGGGAAGGAGTACAGCACAGTACACCACCTACACTCATCTCCATGGCAACTACCACACTAGAACAAGTGATAATGCAGTTCCCTCTCTTCCTATTCTGAAAACTGTTCAGCTGGTACCATACGCACTGTGCAGTATGTGGGAGACAAGGCTTTCAGGATTCTATTGTTGCAGATGATACGAGAATTGTTTTAGATGCATGAAACTGGAATGCTTCTGAAACACTGCAGGCTAAATATTTTATCTACGTATGCTACATCTGTCTATACACCAGAGACATTGGCTTAGCCTGACGCTGAATTCATCATCATCAGCGCTTTAAAGGATAACTTATTTGTGAATTAATGCGTTTTTCTTCTTCACCAAAGCTAGTGGTAGTGTGTGGGCAGCAGTTGATTTCAAGGAACAAGTGTTGAGGCTGACAGAATTGAAAAGGCATAATAAAAAATTCTTTTTCCCAGTGTGATTTTCTGCTTTTGCTGTGAATGTAATGTGACACCGTAACAACCCCAAACCTTTAGAAATGGCTTTGTGCAACATGGTCTTTGAAATCTCTACCCTCAAAAGCTGAAGATAATAGTGTGCTTAAATCAGTTTGAATTCATTCATTCATCCATCTTCTACCGCCTAGTCCCTGAATAGGGGTCACGGGGGGGCCGGAGCCAATCCCAGCCGGCAATCGGGCGAAGGGTACACCCTGGACAGGTCACCAGTCCATCGCAGGGCCAGTTTGAATTCAACGAGACAACAAGGTTTGCACGGCCTTGCACAAATTCTGCTCAAGTCTGTGCTAAATTGTAATTTGGGGTAAGTCTAGTGAAATTACTTGAGACAATGAATATTTGCTACAGCCACTACTCCTTGATTTAGTCATCTTTCCAAGGACCTTCCATTCTATTCTATTTTTGTTTTTATCAAAACTGAATGTTTACCTGCCAAAGTAGCACAGCACGCTGCAGATGGCGTAGAGGACGAACTCTTCTAGGAAACAGTTTGTGCTTGGTAATGTCAGTCTGAGAGGATTTTCTTTGTCTGATCTTCTGTCACTCTATGTTAATTTGTTGGGCAGACTGTCCTGATTAATACATCGGCCTGTCTGTCAACCCGGCATACAACAAACGCAGAGCAAGTAAGGTCAGCTGTCGGACAGCTCACCAGGGAAACTTCCAGATGGCTGATCCGCCTCTGCTGTCCACTTCACTAGCATTGTATGCCCCATGACAGAGACCATCTGACTGCCAATACTCATATGATATTTAAGTAATTGGTTACTCACTTATTCCTTTTGGTAGATCAGTATTTTACCATGCCATCTACCTACACAGCAGCCACTGCCACAAGCGGTAGACATGCATTAGCATATCCAACAAAAGCCCGAACAATTTGAAAGATGATTCTTCCCCCTGGTAATGGAAGGCATAAATCCGGCTGTGTCCCATTTTTATACTAGATACACTATTATTATTATACTTATCTATAAGCCATTGAATACTAACAGAAAACAATACCTATGACACTGGCTCCCAATTAAACTGAGACTTGAGAATGTTACCGTTGATTGAACTTTTCCGATGGTGTTCCTGAAGCTACAGTACATTATCATCCTACTTTTTTCAAGCCATAAAAATATCTTTTCCTTTTTAACAGTGCAGTATGTGAAAATTGTCCCATCAAAAACACACAAATTAAAGGTTTTAATGTTTTGAATTGCCTTTACCTTTCCCAGTGTAAATGCACTACACAGTAAAACCTGCTTAGTATGTAATATGGATTAAGGACACAGCCACTGCCGGCATCCATTCATTTTGGCAACTGAGGCTCTATTCTAAGTTGTACAAAGAAGCCTTGCCATTTTATATTCATTTCCCCCTCCTTTCAATCCACAAATCAAACTGGGTTTATAGCGAATAAACCGAGTACAGTAACCAGGGTTTATTTTCTACATGAGTGAGATCATCCTGACAGCAGGCAGGTGGAAAACTGCAAATGAAGCTAAGGCATTAAAATTTACAACACAGAAAACAAGATGTGATTAACTGTTTAGTGAGATGCTCTGCTCGGCGCCACCAGGACATTACAGTAATCGCAGGTGAACGTCTGCTTGAAAGCAACATTATCCTTTTAGAAGCAATGTCAAATCAGAATTTTGGAGGCTTTCCTACAAAGGTAAAAAAATAAATAAATAATAAATCTGCCTGAACCATCTGCTGAGGACTAAACTGACATGAAGGCAGACTGAGCAGGAGTTGTGCCTGAAACCGAAAAAATAAATAAATAAATACATAAATAAATAATCAAGGTCAGTCATGACATCATCCTCATCCATCGTGTTCCTTGGTAAACTATGATCTTCAGCTGAAAAACAAACCCTTCTTTTTTTTAATAGACATATAGTAAAAGGTGCTTATTGTTTTTGGAGGTGTCATTTTTACCCATGATTATTCTAGGCACTGAAAACTTTTACATTAGTTTTGTTCCCCAGTGGGCTTTTATGTAACAACACTGGCTGATGGCCAAAAGCTAGAGGACACTGTGCAGGAGACTGGTTTGCTCTGTGATTAGAGCCTAAGAGAATAAATATAGAAAACAGTTGAAGGTCCTAGAGGGGTGGACATGGCAGCATTGCATCACTGGAGCGCCAACAATTTTCTGCTATTAACCATGAACAGAAAGAAAATTTTATAATAGCTTAACAGCCAGTTCAAACATGTTCAAAAGATTTATAAATAGTCTGTCTGCTTTACTGAGATACTGTAATGTAGCATTACTCAGATGTCCTACCTCACCCGGTATCTAGCACTTGGTGAAAACCTGAACTAATATCTAAAGTATGAAATTAAATATTAAAAAAAAGAATAAAAGCATAGAACTGAAAGTGGAAGAATCAAACATATGATTTCCTAGCAAACCATACATAGTTTTTCCTATTTTAATGCCTCTTCTGCTAAAATTTATCAACGAGCAATAGCGGGGAAGATTTATAGCTTTGACCTAAAACTGTTAACACTGATGTGTCAGATGAGACATTAAACAAATTTCCTGGGCCCAGTTCTTTAAAATTAGCTCATGCAATTTCAGTAAAAAGGTTAGAGTGAATACTGAAAACAAGTTTTTTTTTTTTTAAACAAACACAATATAGTCATTTGTCTTCTGGATAAACGTAAGCATAGGTACAGGTACTGCTCTATAGGTAGATTAAGTGTAACTTTTACATCATAAGGGGCATAACATATTAAACTTCAAGCCATCTCATAAGGATGGGATGACACCGTCTGTACACAGATTCTTAAAAATATGCTTTGGCTTATACTGTATAAACAAAACTCATTTGAGAGTGTTTTTTTTTTTGTTTTTTTTTACAGTGTGGCTGTGGTTGCAGTGTTTGATGGTTATAAAATGTGTTATAAATCAAGAGTACATAGAAATAGTAAATATGAATTACTACAAGTTTCATATATTTATTTTCTGTTTAGTATGTACATTTGTAGAAACAAAAATTTCTTAGCAAACAGTAAACAAGGCAAGTCATAAAAAAAAAATCTAAGTTACCAATATACAGACCTATTTTGAATTCCAAAGCCAAGTTGTAGCTTTTCATCCACTAGTCACAAGAAAGACTTTGTTATAGCTCTCAAGAATGCAACAAGATTTGGCTGTGGTAACACTGGTTTCTCACTGAGTTGCTGTACATCCTTGTAAGTCAATTTACAAAGTATAGCTGCTTCAACAACAGCAACATAATTATTGTTATAACTGCTCAATCCCAAAGTGAACTGCAAATTCCTGGGGTTAGGGACACTGGTACAAAGGGAGGAAAACGCAGATTCACAAAGATGTTTGAATAAATGGTATCTGTGGTAGAGGTGGAAGACAACAGGTTGTGACTTTACTTTAAATCACACAATCAAGTCACTGTACCTAAACTGAGATTTTTTTTAATAAAAGAAACACAAACCTACTGTATTTCCTAAATTGAAATTAGTCTGAATTGCAACAGCACTCTGTTTGACAACCATTTTATGCCAGGGACCCTTTGATGGTATGGAGTCAATTCCCGTCACTCCTTCCTAAGCGTGCGGAAATCCATGAGCAGCTACGTATTTGCGGTACGCGTCACGGATGATGCGGAAGGCTCGTGCATTAGCATAAGGTATATCAGTAACTGGGTCTCGGTACAGCGCAGCCTTGTGAGTGACAGGACAAACCTCCTGGACGGGTAGCTGAGGACTTGACTGGGCGCTGCGTGGGAACGCTGCCTCAAAAGCCTCATCGTCACTGACTGTTATATAAGTACGGGAGCACAAGCCACCAGCAGGTTGCTGTGAAGGTGTGGTGGGATTCTGGGGTGCAGTCTGAGGAACATCCTGATCCAACCTTTGAAAAATGAAAAAAGCATAAAAATGACTATTTTCATACATATATACTATATTCATTGGTGTCTTGGCAACTATTTTCTAAGTTTTTTAAATCATGTTACACATTCACTACAGATACCACAGCAGGACAAGTGAAAATACAACTACTACTGATCATGACCACACAATGTTCTGGCATATGATTACCTAAAAAGAATCAAATAGTTAAGTTTAATGAATTTATAATAGATTACTTCAAGCAGACAAGAATGCATTTTTAAAGCTAATTAATTAGCAGCTCATACGTACCCTTCAACATCTACGTTTTCTTCTTTTAAGACTGAGTGAGAGACGAGGGGCATCTGGACCGAATGGTACCGGATGGTTGGTCCCTCAAAACGACGCTTCTTATGGACTTGTTTCTTCTTGTCTGCCTCCAGACGTTCATAGTTCTCTACACATACAGTAAAATGAATAGAGGCATCCATACTTCAAGTATATTGCATTAACTGAATCAACAGGAGATTTGACACAGCTTGAGGCAACATAATGGTAAATTTAACTAATTTAGTAACAACAGTTAAATTAATCAGTATACAATATTTACAGTGATTGTGTATTTAGTTGTCGAACAGATGGGCTTTATGGATTCACACATATTGAGCACAGCAAGTGATTTCCAACTAAATTTCTCTATATACAGGCACACCATTTATGTCTTATATAGTCATTGCACCCTTTGATGGGCTGAAATCTTCATAGCTGTTAAGAGAGGTCATGGACTTAACACAACCAACTACATCTGGGTCTAATGTCTGTTATGAGTAACCACAGCTGGACTTTTAAAAATCCTTAAGCTTATTTAATTGGTCTAAGTATACTTACTATTTCTAATGTCATTTATAATCTGCCTGTACATGATGAAGTCAGACATATGATCATGTTAGTCATCAGTGTCACATTTGATGTACTGAAGCTTAACCATAAGTACCTGACATCACCTTCTACCTAAGAAAACATCCTCTTTACATCTAAGTATACCTAAGAAAACATCCTCTTTACATCTGAGTAACTTGACTAGTTACTAGTTACTTTACCTAATGATCGAATGTTGATCTCAGCTGTTATCTTGGCCTCAGCCAGCAGCTCTTCCTGGGTAAGGGGCCGGTCACGATGACCACCTCTCCGTCGTCGAGGGGCATCCTGACGCTCTTGTAAGCGCAGATTGGTCTTTCGGGTATGTTCACTGGTGGACTGTCGCACAGACTTCCGAGCTAAAGAATATCAAGGCGTACATAGTGTGTTGAATATTATGTTGTAAAACTTTTTCTGATGCAGCTATGATGTCATCATTATGTGCTTAAAATATAATGGCTTCTGTGTTAAAACAGTTTTAATGCAAAGTTTCTGGATAGTTTATGAGGAGATATCTGAAAGGGGAGGTTGTAGTAATCTTACTCTCGCCAAAATCTTGAAATTCTTGCGGAATTCTCCTTTTGAGCTCCACTTTAGTTTTCTCAGTCTTCTTGTGTTCCTCAGAGGGTCTTTTGGGTTTGGGTTTAAACACTTTTATAGGTTCCTTGGATTAAACAAAGACAAAAACTTTTTCAGACACATATAACCAGCAAACTAAGTCAAACTTCCCCAACAGTAAGCTAGAAGTGCTTAGAACCAGAATGCGATTTCTAAAGTGGTGGCAAAGTTCAATCAATTCTTTCTGGTCCTTCAGTTACTATTGAGAGAATGACATATGGCCACCAATGGCTTGAGTGAAGCCACACTTCCTGCAGTGCCACTGGTTTCAGACCAACAACAGCAAAAATCAACTTTAAGGTTCATGTAAGCATCTGTTGAACGTAAGAGGGGCTGGAAAGTCCATACAATGGCTTCAGAAAGTATTCAGAACCCTTTATTGTGCCATTGATCTAATTTTAAATGGACAAAAACCCACTGTTGCCCATCAATCTACACTTAATAACCCCTCAATACAAGGTGAACATTTTTTGTTTATAAGGAAGATAATTAAACTCAGAGTTATTAATGCATACACTTGATTCATCCGATAACAAGAAATTACTTTCCATGCCTTATAAGCTTTAGTGACAACCCGACTTTTCCTCCGAGGTGCATCCTCTTCCTGGTCGCTGTCTGGCTCGTCTCCCTCATCGATGTCAAAGTCGCTGTCCACCTCGTCCTCTGTGTCCGAATGTTCTCCGTGATACTCATCATCTCCTGATTCCTGAGTGGAAGCAAAAAGAAATAGTTTCCTAACAAGTTATGAAATACAATGAGGTAGATAACCTGATAATGCAGCTACCTTCAGTATACATTAGTCAGCAATAGTTTTCAGATGTACAAGACTCTGGGAAATTTTATACAAGTTCTCGAATCAGCAAGAGACAACTAACGGAGCTCTAAGGAATTGAAATAATCTGCATGGATAAGAGACACCTGCAAAGTTAGTGACATTAAAATCAGGACAGCATATACAAACCCCAACAAACTGCAGTGACAAAGATCAACATCGGCCACAAGCTAAAAAACACCTGAATGACACTAAGTTGGACTAGCCTTCAATGAACAGGCATGGTCAAGTTGTTGTATCATAGATGACTGAGGCATTGGTTTTTTTTTTTTTTTTTTTATCTAGTTACTTTTGCCAACCTAAGCTGTGACTAATGTCAGATCTGCTAAAGCAGCTGCTGCCAAATCTCCCGACACAAGTTGACCTTTGCACCAGTAGCTTCAGAAAATTAGCTCTCTTATATTAAGTTGCTAAAATGTCAAATAATAGTGCGCTATGTTCTGACATAATAGGATGAAGCCTTTCTTCTCATTCTGAGTCTGATGTAAGAAAGACTGACACCCTGATCTGACTTTCACAGATTTGTTGTTAGCTGTAAAGATGGACTGAGCCAGGATATTTTGGAGTCGTGGTCACAGTTTCAGATGAATCATATTGGCATGTTGATTTGGAGAGCTGCTGCATGCCTTAACTAAAGAAATTTTCTAGGCTCATCTACAGTCAGTACGGAAAGTTTTTAGACCATTTCAAGTTTTCCACATTTGGTTATATTTCAGACTCATCTTAAAATGGATTCAATTCTTTTTTTCTCATCAATCTACACACAATGCCTACTAATTATTAAGTGAAAGCAGGTTTTTCAAGTGTTTTCAAAATGTATTAAAGATAAAAGACTGAAATACCCCTTTACATAAGTATTCAGACCCTTCATTTAGTACTTGGTTAAAGCACATTTGGCATCAATGACAGCCTCAGGTCTTCTTGATTATAAAGCTGCAAGCCTGGCACATCTTGTGTTTTGCAATTTTTCTTGGTAGAATCATTCAAGGTCAACAAGGTTGGATGGGTAGTGTTGCCGCACAGCCATTTTCAGGTCTCTCCAGGGGTGCTCTATTGGGTTCAGGTCCAGACTCTGTCTGGGTCACTCCAGGACTTTAACAGAGCTTTCCCAAAACCACTCCTTTGTTTTCTTGGCAGTATACTTCAGGTCGTTGTCTTATTGAAATGTAAGCCTTCGCCCCAGCCTGAGATCCTGAGCATTCTGGAGAAGGTTTTCATTCAGAATTGCTCTATATTTTTCTGAATCCATCCTTCCCTCTACCCTGACTAGTCTGCCAGTCCCAGACGCAGAAAAACATCCCCACAGCATGATGTTGGCACCACCGTGTTTGGCGGTAGGGATGGTATTATTGTTACTGGGAATTGTGGCCAAACAGTTCAGAGGGCAGATCTGTGAAGACTGTTGGTGGTTTAAAATCTCTTCCATCTGACAATGATGAAGGATAATGTGTTCTTGGACACTTTCAATGCTGCAGAAATGTTCTTGTATCCTTCCCCAAATCTGTGTCTTGACACAATTTTGTCTCGCAGGTCTATACACAATTCTCTCGATCTCCTGGCTTTCTTTTCACTCTGACATACATCATCAACTATGAGGCCTTATACAGACAGGTATGTGCCTTTCCTAATTATAACCAAATTGGGCATAGATAGACTCTAATCAAGCTGGAGAAGCATCTCAATGACCAGTGACAGGAGTAGGATGCTCCAGAGCTCGACTGCAAGTGTCATAACAAATGATTTGAATATTTATGTCAATGAAATATTTCAGTCTTTTATTTTTAATAAATTTACAAAATACTCCAAAAACCTGTTTTCACTTCATCATTGTGGAGTATTGTGCACACATTGATGAGGAAAAAAATTTAACTGAATCCATTTTATGATGAGCTGAAACATAACAAAATGTGGAAAACTTGAAAGAGTCTGAATACTTTCTGTACTGACTGTATTTGTGTGTGCTTTAGATGTAGAGGCTTTCTCGGTACTCTGTCTGTGGGATTTTTGAACTTGTATGCATTTTCCTCCTCATCAAGCACATCTGACAAGCCCCACTCACAGAACTGAGAAAAGAAAAGTTAATGGTTATTTGTCCTGTTCTCAACAGACCCGGCACCCTAAGGGAAACTTTTTGAAAACCCCATAATAAATATGATCTTTGGATGCCTAAATATCAGCGGTGGCATTAAATGCAGGAATGATGGCATGAACACAGTGGGACGGGTATGTCTTCTAGCACTGCAGACTTTGAGATGTACACGAACATGCACTCAGCTGCCAGTCTATTACGAAACAATACGTGTACCACAGCCATGCAATAAATCCCACTTTTTGACGTCCACTGTTAGAAATTGTGACACTCTTTGATACTCTGGTATCTTGCGATAGGGTTCTCTGTCAATGATAACATTTAATATGATTTAACGTTAAATCGTGTCCCTTATTATGTAAATAACATGTCCGACACGATATTCAAGTTACCACGCAAGCTAGCCGGAAGTTAGCTAACCCATTAGCTGTGTTTACTAGCTAAGTTACTCACATCGTTAAAACCTCCATAGGTGGTCTTGTAGAACTCGTCCTCTTCTTCAGCATCCAGTAACTTTGACATGCGATTGCCAGCAGTCTTTCTGGGTTCTCGACCAACTGCCAGACTCATGGTTGCAATTTCCAAACAATTCTAAAATATCTAATGTTAATCTTTAGGTGTTTAGCTACATGCTAACGTTATAAGCAATCTTGAGCGGTTTCTTTTATCCCGTCCTTACTCGCGGCGCCTACTCAATTATATGTACGTAGCCATATTTATTCAAATTACAAATACACCTTAAATTCACACTAATATACTAAAAATTGTGTTCATTAGCTACCTCACAGACAGGCTCTACTAACCGCCGCCACCTTTTTGTGAAAAACACATCCGGGACAGTTGTTGTACTTCTGGTACAGCGGTATCTTCAAAATAAAACTTAACGGTCAAACATTTTGACTTGGTAAAGCACACATTCTGTACGCATTTAATTGAATTTTATTTAGAATGAAGATTTGTCAGAACATCATTTGGATGAACATTTTACTGTATGTCTATAATATATTCTGAATGTGGACAGATTAAACCTGCATTATGTATGCCTCAGTGTTATGTGACATTCCAGGGCCATGTGAAAACCTATCATAAACATCCATCCATCCATTATCTATAAAAACAATCACAAAGCCAACACTTACTTCATGTGATGTGTTTCATGTGAACTTTGGACTGACAACCACTGAAAAAGCACATGAAAAAACTAGACAGCGCTAAGACAGTGAAACATCTGCAAGAGCAACTCAGTTTCTCCATAATGCCATAAAAGCAATATTCCTATGGTAGGTTGACCCTCATATATGATTGCTTGACCATGAAAACCTACTGCTGCACCAAAATCAAATCCATTGTTCTGTGGCCCATACCTCACCTTGCCAAAAATGTCATTCAAATCCATTCATTACTTTTTGAGTTATGCTGTTAACAAACAAATCAATAAACGCATGTAAAAACATAACCCCTGCCCATGGCGGAGGTAACAATAACATGACATATTTATGAGCACAGTCGTTTTATTTTATGTCACTTTTAGAGAGCAAACATATTAAGTGCTTTATTTGGAAGTGAAAAAGAAAATACATTACATGCATCCATTAAACAATAAATGTGGCAATGTCAGAATACTAGGAAAAATGTAATATTCAATTAATAGAATATGAATGACATGCTATAGAGATGCAAGTGTTGTATACATTAACCTTAATATAAGGTTACCATATTGTTATAAGTGTCCAATGTCCAATAATTATTTTATTAAATAAGCCTACTATTCCTTTGAGATTTAAAATTGTTTCTTAGCATGTTACAATTTAACACACTAATAAAGTTCAGTTTTGATTGTAATTTTTCAATTCTGCTTAGAAACTGGGGCTTCAGTGTCAGATGGTTTTATATTTTACAGCTGACGATCCTTACTCGTGAGCTATTTAACTAGAAATAGACATTTTACTTACTGACTCATAGTAGTTTCATGGTGAACCTACTTGTTTCCATATAGTTTCCTGTGCCCCCATTACTATTAGACATGGCACTTTGCTTTTTACTCCAGAAGAACATGAAAATGAAACATAAGCTTACAGAGCTGAAAAATGAAAGAAACCCAATGGTTGCTGCTATCAGTAATGTTTTGATGTCAAATGGGAGTTTTTGATTTTCATCCAGACCTGGAGAGGCAGATGGAAAAGCAAACCAGCCTTTAAGATGAAAGTGGTTTTTAGAAGATGATGGAAAGGCTTGGACATGAAGGCTGATGGCCAGGCTGGCATTTTCTGCTGCGTAAGATGCCACACAGAGATAAGTACCACTGTCTTGAGGCTGAGCATAGCGAACCTCCAATGAGCCATTAGAGAGAGTCCGTATTCTACCAATGGGTGATAACAGTCTTAGCTGTGGGTTTAGCCAGCTGACAGATGGCAGAGGGTCACCTTCTGCTTTGCAATAAAAGACTACTGTGTGTCCCTGATCTACTTTCACTTCTTGGAGTTTGTGGTTCAGAATTTGAGGCTGCCGACAAGTGAGCAGGCCTGGGAGCTCAGCTTCAGAAAAGCCGAGAAAGTTCCATCCCTGCACCTGGACCGAGGGAGTGCAATTTGGTGAATGCCCACCAAAGTCCAGGTACTGGCGTCTTCGCACCAGCCACAGCAAACGCCAGTCACATACCAGTGGGTTGTTATCAAGTCCCAGAGTTTTTAGGGTGTCCAGTGAATGAAAAGCACCTGCCTCAAATGTGGTGAGCAGGTTTTTGGATACATTCAGCAGTTTGAAATGTGTTAAACCCCTGAACGCTCCTATTTCGATGCGCAGCAATGATCCGCCAATTAGATGGAGCTCTTGGAGCCGAAGCAAGTCTCCAAGCATGTTTCTGTGAATGTAAGTAATTGGATTAAAGGAAAGGTCAAGGTATAAAAGATATACAAGGTGATGGAGAGGGGTGTAGGGGACAGCACTGAGGTTGCAGTGTCTAATGGTGAGGGCTGTGAGATTTAGGCCAAATAGGCTGTTTCCTGATAGCATCTCCAGCCAGGGGCAATGGGAAATGACAAGCTCCTTGAGGTGCACTAGATGACAAAAAGAGTAGTTTGGCAGTGTGGTAAGGCCCAGTCGATGAAAGTGAAGACTTCTCAGTACAATAAGCTGTGCGAGTGCCTCTGTTGGCATAGCAGTGAGGTTGCTGCCATCAAGATGAAGCTCTTGTACATTGCTTAGTCCAGTGAAAGGTAGATGAGAGATGAAAACTAGATCATTATCTGCTGATTTCATAAACTGCAGGGCAGCCAAGTCACGGAAAGTAAAATCTAGGAAAACAAGGATCTCATTGCTACTTATGTCCAGTACCTTCAGGTTTGTCAAGCCAGCAAAGGCTCCTACAGGAATAATCTTCAGGCGATTACGAGCAAGACACAGAGTTAGCAGGTTCTGCAAACCAAGAAAGGCTTCCATTTCAATTATTTCCAGAAGGTTGTCACTCAAATCTAAATTTAAGAGTTGTGACAAAGTCTGGAACTGCTGAGGCATCAGAGACTTGATCTTATTATGAGTTGTTAAGTTTAGTCACTTAGCATTTTGCGGGAGACCATAAGGCACTGCGCTAAGTTGGCCATCAGAGCAGTTCACCTTCAACAGCACAGCGTTGCAGTGGCAAAACTGTTGGACATGACAGGCGTGCATCAGATGTTAATGCCACCCCTGCTGCCAAGAGGTAGAGAGCTCCCCAGCACAATTGTTGGGGGATGACAGTCCCTTCAAACATCTGGTGGCCTGCCTGCATGTGACAGAGAGAGACAGCTGAGAAAAGAATGAGAGAGCAGTGGTGTTTACTGACATCACAGCAGGTAAAATGGAGTAATCATGACTCTCTGCAGCACACAAATACAAGAAGGTTGATGGTGTTAAGGTGTTATGGTTAGGGTTGCACTAAGCTGTTTTTTTTATTATTTTTTTCTTACCTCTTGGCTAACAGGAAATGTTTTTTCATAACCAGGCAGCTGCCAGTGGAGGATCCCGTCTTTGTAGGCTCATAAATACTGAAAAAAAGAGCAAAGACAAAGCAAATGAAGTTTTGACATGTTGCCAGATGATGATGCTGATGCTCATTTTGCACTACTATATGAATATCAGTGATTTCAGTTCATTTTTAGGCTATGTTGTTTATGATACTGCAATAATCCAAGCTGATAAGGTACACAGGTGATAGTGTCATTCATCCTAGAACATAAATTTTCATGGACTGAGATTGTTCTGATGTTCAACTTTCTGTATGACTGTGTGGATTCAGTTCCTTGAAGCAGAATTTCAACTGACTGAAGCCACTTCACCACTCAGTCAAGAAGTACCAAGGGTAGATGTATATCAGTTTAACACATCTACCAGGAATAAGTAAAAATAAAAAGCAATAACAGGTTGTCAACTCGCTGTGTTTTTATTCGGATATTCTTGTTTTAACAGTTACTAAATCAGCCACTAAGAAGTAGAAAAAAGCAGAAATAGATTTGTGCATGCTGATTCTGGCCAGATTCAAGCATTTTATAATACTACATGAAGGCTGACTGTAACTCTGGAAAATGCCTACTTACTGTTATCTGTAATCACACAGTGGCTCATGATTCCAAAAATAATTCATTCATCAGTTAGAAGCCTATTCACATGTGACCATGTCATGTGAACATATAAACAGACTTTTTTCTTCTTATGTAAAAACAAGAGGTAACACATAAACTGTAAGTCTGTAATAATAACTTAAGCATCAGCACATCAAAAGATGTGTGACTTGCAGAAATGCATTTAAATTGCCAAGAGAGAGATAGAAAAAAATATTTAGCACCTTCAAGTGTGATGCCACCCTCGGTTTTGGCAGCTCTCCTCACATGTTGTTGTGCTGAATGATGCAACACTATAGAGCATGTGAGAAGAGGGATGGAGAGAGAACGACAACAGCAGGACTGTCTTCTGATACATTTGTGACATTTTCTGCAAGAAGAGCTGTGATTATAAATTTAAAGTGTAAAATTATTCATGCTCACTAAAGCTTAAAAGGTGAATGCTTTTTCTTATCCTGTAGACGGATTCAGTTTGATCTGTGTCACGTTTAGTGTTTGTACCTCTAAGAGTTTCTAAATGATTTTCCACTAAAGTCTTTGCCTTTTGCACTGTGAACTGTGAACAAACCAGAGTAAAGCAGGATACTGTATCTTAGATCTTATTTTTCAGGTGGAAAATTTTATCTAAACATAGTTATAGGTAGGGATCTTGGGAGCTTACTGTGATTGCTTGTGACGACAGCAGCTCCCCAGAGCAGTGAATGAAGTCGGACTCCTCCTGAACTCCTCAGAGCTCAAGCAAAGAGCAGACTGAAAATAGTGTACGAAGGTGAAATAGTAGTAATTTACTAGCTTGACAGATTCAAGAGTTCAAATACAAAGGACAGTACTGTAATATAAAGGGTACATAGTTAGACTAATTTGTAACAAAGAAGAAGAAAATCATATATTATAACTCACCGTATCTTCAGTCTGGGGGGCTTCTCATCGTGAGAGCCCTATTTTCACAATTTTTGTAGTAAAACAACATGAGGTGTAGTTTTATTTTTCTGAAATAGTCTCATATAAATTGTATCAAACAGAATTCAAAGGTCAGAGTAAATCTTTTGCTTCATTAGCTCCACCTCAAAACCTTGTGTTGCTCAAAAATACATCCAAATGAAGCCTGCAGTGTGAGAGAAACAAATAGACGCATCTTTACAAGAAAGCCTCATCCTCCCATTCTGACATTTTCATCTCAGTTCCCCCATTGCTTCGCTGTCCTCATGGCAACAACAAGCTGGCTCTTGGATGTGCTTGTGCACGGTGCATGCTGGGGGATTATATGCACTAGCTCTTGGACTCCATCCAACACACTGCACTGGATGACAGGAGGCAACAGGTCAGCCAAGTGCAGATTTGGGAGCAACACCAGATGGGAATGAATTTAAGCACTAACACTTAGAAATAAAGGAATATCTTGAGATATTTGTAAATGTATTATTTCTCTAATGAAAGCCAAGACAGCAATACAGTGAATACACCTCACATCAGAGTCTTAGTTCTGCTTGTTCACTGTAAAACAGAAGAAAGTTTAAATGTCCTGAAGTGCGGGAACAAGAGTTGGAACATAAATGGAAAGATAATAAAATAACTAATCACAGAAATATGAATGTTTCTTCATAGAGTTTACTACAACTGATGACACTATTTACTATCAATAATGGTCTCAATAAACCATCAGACTTTAGTCCATGTAAATAAGTAAATCTTTTGCTTTTCAGTGTTCACACTTGCCCTGAATCCATTCTCTTACTATTACATAATAAGTGATTTGGAACACATCAGTTGATTCGACTCATAATTAGCACAATTAATCTGTCAGTCATGATTTTGACAACTAAAATGGTTTCTTTATAGGTTCCACTGTGATTAAATCTCATCCCACTTCTCTAAAAGACTTGAAAAATGACTATAGACCTAATAAATATAACGTGTGTGAATCCGTTTGTGTATTTTTACATTTTTGTGTTTTAAGTGCTCACTACACCCACACTACTCCTCCAGTTAATTATGTTTTACTGCTAATTATTTTTCAAACAAATGACTGTTTAATCAGCAAACACAGAAACAAAAATGATCAAGTGTCTGAGAATCGCCTCCCTGCTTAGCTGCGGGATTAGCCTATGCGGCGTGTTGACACAAAAGATGCACCATCACCACACAAGAGCCAGTGCTGAGTCAGGAACTTGCCATCTGGTACCTGAGGGAACCTGTGTTCATCAGCAAATCTCTGTCCAACCCCGGATGCAAGAAGAGGAAAAAGCGGAGTTGAATGCCAATTACAGCCTCAGCCAAATCTAAATTGCACGCGGTGTCATATCCTCCTGTCAGATTATCATCATATTGTTTCATCATTGCTGTTTCCTGCTGTGATGTTCCTGGGAAATTCTCAAGTGTTTGTTTTATTTATTTATTTATTTTTACAACTTTTTTTTAGAGTTCAGTAAAGAGATTACAGGAAACGAGCAAAAATTGAGGGATAAATTGTAACAGAGGCTCTTGGTCAAATCTGAACTGGAATCTTAAAAGAACTGTGTGACATTTTAGGGAAAAACTACAAATAGTTAGCTTAACTTACTGTAAATGACAGCTTAAAAGCCAGGAAGCAGGGGAAACCATTTAGCCTTGGTCTGTCTAGCATTAGTCTACCAATAAACTTACAACACCATTATCTCACTTGTTTATTCCACAAAATGAAAAACAGCACATACTGTAGCAGTTTTACAGAAGGCACTTGCCAGGCCATTTTAGATAGAGGCACTTAGCTCCTACAGCTGTTTACCTGTGCCTCCAGTCTTTATGCTAACTAGCTAAGCTAACTGGCTCTCAGTAATAAAGCATATAAACTTAATTCCCCATATATTGAACCATTCTTTCAAACCCACTGGGCCACTAGGTGGTGCCCAAAGATTCCACCAGTCATGTAAGCTGAGCACAGAAAAATTAATACATTATGTATAATCAGCATGCATTGATAAATTTATTGGGCTGAAACTTTGAAACAGCTTTTTATTAGCTTTATTCCCAACATTTTGCAGTACATTTTGTACACCATATGTGGTGAGTAGATTCGCCATGTCCAACCATTGAATGTATTTCAAATGTCTATGGCCTGTCTTGACTGACCTATTCACATTTTATTTAAAAAAAACACCAACTCACCTGTCTTTAGAGATATTTTCTCATCTTAATTGAAAATTGTAGCTTATAACAATGGTATATTCATCAATAGCAAGAATTTGCATGTAATACAACTACAGCACTTTAAGAAAAAATAAAATGTAAATGATCGGTTTTACAGTGGGTGTAACATAAGTACACACATAGTAGAAACAGATGTAAACACAAGGCAGTGCAGAGAAGGTTCACACACAAGGATTTAACTCAGGGACAAAACATTTTTTCATAGATTTTCACACAAACAGAAACTTTTGAGCACAAATTTACAAGAATCCATACGCTATAGTAACACAGCTTATAGTTAGGGCTGGATCAGGTGACCCTGAGCCTTTCCTTAGTTATGCTGCTATAGGCCTAGGCTGCTGGGGGGCCCCATGATGCTCTTGAGTTTCTCCCCTCCTTTCCTCTCTCTCTATGCTTATATATGCCACCATTACACATCATTAACTTTGTGTCTCCTCTCTCTCCCTGTACTTTTCTGCAGGTTGCCCTGGCTCTGGAGCTCTGTTTCTGATGACCAGTCACCGGCCACATCAACCTGACCAGTGTTTGATTGTTGTCTTGCTTTTCTTCTTTTGTCTCTCCTCTATCCACTCACCCCAACCGGTCGAGGCAGAAGGCCGCCCACCAAGAGCCGGGGTCTGTCAGAGGTTTCTTCCGTTAAAGGGAGTTTTTCCTCCCCACTGTCGCCAAGTGCTTGCTCAAGGGGGATTTGTTGGGTTTTCCCTATGTAATAATATTGATAACAGTAAGGTCTAGACCTTACTTTGTAAAGTTTCCTGAGATGACTTTTGTGATTTGACACTATACAAATAGAATTTGATTGGCAAGCCAAGAGGTCAAACCACTCTACCTTGGGTCCAGCACAAACATGGCCAACCTCTGACAGTATAACATTTTTAGTCCCCATTTATGAATTCAGCAGTCTGAATGTGAAGAGCCTTGATAGTGTGAAGTCTCTTTTCCTGTCAGTTCAAGTGAACTACTGCTGTCAGTCTGACACCATTAGAAATTTGAATCATCAGTAGTAAATTTGGATTGTGGTTTCTTGGTTTTGCCAAAAATAAAAATTAGCTCGAGTCATCTCATCACTTTAACCAAGTCCAGTGTCAAATGTTTGTGCTCAAGTGATTAATACCAAATGAGAAACTGGCAATAGACCCTACTTCATTTCTACCAATTTGTCAGTTTTAGCAGAAATCATCTCTGGAGCTGCCAAATATCTGTTTATCCCTATATTTCAGCATCTACATTGCTTTCACATATTTTTGGCACTTACAGCTCTCATACAGGAAGGGCTTTTAAGGCTTCTGCTGCCAGTGTAAATGAGATTAACATGACACTGAACATAAACTAATCTGGCACAAAAACAGTTTGAGGAAACGATACACATTTAAATGTGAAGCACCTTTGTTCATTCTAAGTGGGTACAATTTCTCCCCAGGACAAAGCAACACTGCTGATTCTCCTGGGACAAGGTAAATACAAACCCATTCTTCTCATTTGTGGTAATGCAGTGACTGAGGCGATTTTGTGGAGATCGAACACTTGACAAAGTTAATGACTGTGTGTATGGATGATTCCTAGCACTAAAATCTTCTGAAAAGGAACAGGTTTTTCACAGTTTTGAAGTGCATTTCTAATTCTGAACTGACAGCAGCATTTTACAGGATCCACCTCATTCCTAATGGCTTTATTTTAATCAACTTTGCCATTAATGAAAAATAACTTAATTCTGGCAATTTATTTGACATTTCCTTAAATACATCGGTATTTCAAGAGTTAATTACAGCTGGGAGAAAAAAAGTACAAACAATACATTAAAGGCTTCTTAAAAACAGCCTTATTTTCAGTGGCAAACTTGATGTAAATGAATGAGTGCTGGGAATAAGTCCAACCATCAGAATGGCTCCATTTCCTCATAGCCTCTTTCTCAACCATCACCGAAGCTTGTAGCAGTCCCAACTCACAAGCAGCAGCACCTGCAAAAGGACACTGAATGTTAGGCACACCTGATTTCAGCATCACTCACCCAAAGCAAAAAGTCTGAAAGAAAAGCAGTCCCCCTTCAATACCAACCTGGTCTGAATGTCTTCCAGCTGGGGCTGCCACCACGATACCTAGTGATACAGAGGATTCATCAATAGTGTTTGGCTACCATGTTGTCTTCACTAGACTTCAGTCTGAGTATCTCAGTGCGCTGCGAGTAGTCTTCAGTTAAGATCAGTAGAACCGAAAAACTGTATCATCATTGATGAAACTCAGACAAGAGCTACATAAAATCTCCTCAAACTCACATGGGTGGTTCTGATGCCTGAATACAGTCCAGCAATTTCAAATGTTACATGCACCTGTCTGTGCTTTTGGGTTAGTGCAGAACCAGGTACATGTTTTTTTGCACACATCCTAACACAGCATTACTGACAGAAGTTGGTACTTACAGCTGTGGCACTGTCACACAGACTTCTCAGTGGGTGGCCAAGCTACAAGACAAAATTTTAAATTAGCTTCACTATATGTATATTAAAAAAAACAACAAAAAAAAAAAACAAGGACAAGCTCAAGGACCATGGCTATATAACAACTTAAAGAATTGCTGTGACAAGCTTTGCAAGGCCCTGGACTACAGCAATAGTTTTTCAGTGGTTCAAATACATCTACTGTATTAATTTTAAAGTTATAAAATCATTCAACATAAGGGCACAGATATGCATGCTCATTCATTCTTTCATTTTCCATGGCAGGAAATGTGGAGGCTATGAAGAAGCAGGTTATTTGCTTTCCAACTGCTTTTAAAACTCATCATTTTAACTAACATGACCTATCAAATCACCTACAAGTAGCCTTGTTTCAACAGATGGGTCCATTTTATAGCTGGAAATTTGAGACAGGCTGTGCTCATTCGGTGTGCATGCCGCTATCTTTTTTCCAATTCTCATTAAAAACCAAAAAAATGAAATAATGAAATGTGCAGATTCACAGAACAGAGGCTTTTACATTGCAGACTTACTTGAATAGCTGGCTCCATGTAATCGCCTCAGTTCAGATACCTGTGAGTAAAAAGAGAACAGTACTTGAACCATTTCTGATCTTTGCAGTTTGATGTGAGATTCACCAAGTTAAAATACTCAGCGCACTGTAAAAGAGCTTCATGTTACAATCAGAGACTCTAGTCTTGTGTCATCATAGCAGCTTTTTGCTTTTCATGGCACTCCATTCAGTGCCATCCTGCCCTGACACTCACCATTTGCTTGGGGCTGCAGACTCAACTCAGAATCGACCAGGGGAATAAACAGGTGAATCCTTCGGTGCTCTGAAGAGTCTCAGATGGACGGTCACTGCAGCCATCTTTGTGATCCCCTAACAGAGTGGCTCATTTCCTTTACACAATCACGTTTCCTTGTGCCGCTGTATTATTTGTGTCAGCTTCCTTGAAGTCTCATTTGGGCGTCTGATAAAAACATCCGCACCTGTTGAAAACTTCACGTTTCAGGATTAACAAATACTACATAAAATTTGTATCTCTTAACCCAAATTTCGAGAGAAATTTCTGATCCCTATATATAATCACTCACTTCATCCATCTCCAAACTTTGTTCTTTTGAAGTTATTTGGATAGCCATGGGATTCGCACACTCAAGAAGGGGTTTTATATTCTCGGTCTATCTAGGGAACAAAAAGCTGATGTTAAGTCACGTTCCTCCATTACAGTAAACGGTAAAGCTTTTCGCCATACCACGTGTTCAGCATACAAGAAACATACAGAGCCATTCAATTCTCTGTCTACTGCAAACGACTAAACCACTTTAAAGGCACACAATGCAGTGAGTTTACCTTTTACTGCTTCCTTGAAAGGATGTTATTTCATGTAAAATCCTAAAGCCTGTATGAACACGTCCACTCACCTCGAAACATACCCCGCAAGAGGCCGAGCCAGAATCCACCCAGGGTTTATAAGAGGGTCCTTCACAGGATGGCCTGCTTTAGGTGACCTAAATATTGCCTGTTACTGCCATTAATCGAAATTTATATAACTTATTACATTATACAGTAAATACATTCATTAAATGTACATTTCAGGAATATGAAAATAAAAGAACACTATTACATACATAATGGTAGTTAAGACGTATATTCACTAACCTACGTCCGGGCGACGTAACATTGCGGAATAAAGTTTTCTTTTAAGAGGACTTACATATTTTAACAAAGTAAATATTGTGTCATTTGAATTCATAAGATGTTCATTTACACAATTAATCTATTGTATTTTATAGCGAGTCAAAAATATACATTTATACTAAATTTAACAGGTCTAAAATTATAATAAACTTAGGCTTCCTGTTTAAACCATACATGATAGCGAAGTAACACAGACTGAGCACACACATGTACAGTTTTTATGCTGTTTGAGTTTGAAGTATGAATATGGGGAATGTGAACAGGCAATGACTTGGTTATCATACGAAGGACACCTGGGTACTCTTCTCTACTCAGATGGTTTAGATCCGAGGTGCTCATCATAGATGTATTATGAAAAAGTATAGCAGACCTAATAATTAATCTCATTCCGTATAATGCAAAACATGACATTGTTTTTCTTTCTTCATGTTTTATTTCCATTATTATTTATCATTTTCTTCATAGAACTGGATAAATGGCACAAAAGTGCATATTCCAGCATAATTAACAACTCTCACATAAAATAAATACAGCACCTTTCCAGCATCACTAAAATATTCTCAATATCCATAAGTAACAAATACTGATTTTACCAAGATTTTCCATCTTCATTTACAAAACACAAAGACAACACACAATAGATTTTTGTGTCATATTGAACTTTTTTTGGAATAGTTTTCCTTGATCTTTTGTTCCACAGATTCCATAGTTGCACATACAAACATCTACAGTTTCTACACATAGCACATTGATGGAACTCACATTTAGAGAACAATTTTTATCATTTAATAAAACAAGTCAGAGTCAAACTAAAGAAAATTATAACAGAAACTCCTTCAGTCCAAACTACAATGAAAGATTCCTGCAGCTCTCTGCAGATAAAAGTTGTTTCCTGGCAGGGGTTGGTCCTTTTTTCAGGATTCGAGACTGATCCACATGCTGTTAAGTGTCGAGAAGACCACAAACCATGCTATAAAAGGTCCTTCATCCCTTTATCAGACATCCATCAGAGAAAGTATCCAGGCTGACCTTCACCTTATTTTGACCACATCTTAATATCACTGTCTTCATTACAAGAAAAACTCGAACCAGTGACCATTTGGATATATAGAATGATAATTCTACACATAGTAATATTAAATAGTAAACTTTTACATTTTGGACAGGAGCTTCAATTTGACAGAGGGCGCTCTTTTGATGAGTTGATAAGCTGTGGTCCTTCTGAGTTTAATACTAACTTCTTGTTTCCTCAGAACTGGGGAAAGCCACTTTATTGCTTACACTTCCCTTTTAACACTTTTAAAATGGACTCACATGGACAAATGAGTTGATGTCAAATTGTAACTTTTGTACATCATTTATGCACATTTTCAGCTCCTCTTGCTTAAGTGTATTGCCCTTTTCCAGCTATAGCTATCTTATAACTCTGCAACAAGATGAATTGCACTATTGCAAGCATCCTCCTCATAAATTCAGGCATATATACATAAAAAGTTACCTTTGCCAAGGTAAACAAGGAGCACAGCCACTACTAACTTACTTTCAGAACACATACCCAAGTTTCACCAATTTTAACCCCACTTTGATTAAGAACAGTCACTGCAAGCAACAAATCTATGTCATCATACAACAATGAAAACACTAGTTTTTGCTTTAGACAAAAAACAGCTGGCATACAGGACGTTCAAGAAGTCAGACAATACAATACAAACATGCGTCACGATTGGTGTAATACAGCAAGATTAGAGGGTGTGGTTGTCTTAGTTGAAGATGTGATCCTGCTCCATATTTCTAAAGAGAGGAACAGACTGCACGTTATTTCCGAGACTGCCTATATTTTATGGGATTTTTTTTAAACAACTGAACTGTATCAGCAAAAGAGCACCCGAGTCTATTATGAAGAGCAACACATTAAATTCTACACTGCATAAATTGCATAATCTTCTTTTTTGTCTTATTATAGTGTAACTATATTTCTGTGGTCCCCAACTGAGCTGTATTCATCACAGAGATGAAAACATGGCAACAGAAAAAAGTAGAAAAATATGTGACAATTTAAAGTTCGCTTATAGACACACATGCACACGCACCCAGTTTACATACATACATCCGCACATTAACAACACATTAAAACAGTCTCTCAAACATGAACAAATTTGTTGAGTACACCCAAGTTTTGTACACAAACAACAAAGGAGAGATCTGATCCTCAGAATACAGTATAGATTTGACAACATTAAATGAACATTTCTACATTTTGAGAAACTGATACCACTCTTATGTGTGTGTATAATAAATATGAAGTTACAGCAGGCAGGTAGCTTAGCGTAGCATAAAGACAAGAAAAGGGGAAACAGAAAGTCTATCAGCACCTCTACAAATCACTAATTAACAAGTCATATCCCATTTGTTTAATTTACACAAACACCAAAAAACAATAAATAAATACGTACATACATAAATAAATCAGGGGTTATGTGGCAGACAGTTTCTTCAGATTTTGTTTTCAGGCTGTTTTTGCAATGTGTCTTTATAATATGCTAAGCTAACAACATAAATAAGTGTATTTTCCAAAATGTCAACCCATTCTCTTTAAGTCTCTCATTCAGACACACACATACAGTATTTAAGAGGTCAGACACTCCTGAACATTCATACATCAAGCACACACACTGAGAGGACGTCTTTACAGTACGTCACATAACAGACTCTACCGGCCGCTGTAGCAGCCACCATGTACTCACTCACTGATTGTCACCACACATATTGATGTACACCTTCAGAGAAATGATACAGAAGAATGTGTATAAATATTGATACTCATTTAGCTTTTGTTTAGAGTGACCGCATCCAGTTTAGACTGAAGCCCATCCATCTATCCATTATCTATATCACTTATTCCTGAACAGGTTGACGGGGGTTTAGAGCCAATCCTAGATGACAGTGTCCTGGACAGGTCTCCAGTCTATCACAGGGCTGACATGTAGACAGACAACCACACACACTCACATTCACTCCTATGGGCAATTTAGAGTTGCCAGTCAACCTAAGCTGCATGTCTTTGGACTGTGGGAGGAAGCCGGCGTACCTGGAGAGAACCTATGCAGGCACAGGGAGAACTCCACCGGTACTCAAACCCGGAACCGTCTTGCTGTGAGGCAACAGTGCTAACCACCACACACTAACCACTGCACCTTAGACTGAAGTCACAACAGGTAATTTAGTATTAAGTACTTCTGATACCCTTAAAGATGCTTCATACAGGAACACAGTTGAATACTGTAGCTTATCACTTATTCTCACATTGTGAGGCAATGTGTGATCAGAAGCCCTTAAAATAAAATAATAAGAGTAACTGTTTTCTTCGTGCCTCACTGCATAATCACACTTTGTTTAACTTTTTCATTCTTTTGGTCCTGTTTGATTTGTGCTTATGAGTCTAGTGAAGACTTTTAAGGGGTGTAACAATTTTAGTATTGTGCAGTTTGTATGTTGGAGCCAAAATAGAAAAAGATCATCAAAATGCAATTGATTTTTGATCAGAAATATCAGAAAGCAATTGTGCATGTACAATAATCTGGTACAGTGATGCTAAAATATATTTGTTGTAGATGCTGTCTAAACATTTCACCACACCTGAAGTACTGCATGAATTCTATTCATCCTGATTTTCTGACATTAGCCTAAAAATGTAAGTCTGCTCTTTCATACATTTTGCTTTCGGATCAATAAAATCCCGTTTGAATAAAATGGTCTACATTGCTGCACTGATTTACATGAAATGATGGAGTCTAAACGAATAAATCAGACCCTCTCTGACACACACATATGCAATCACACACACCCACATTGTATAAACACACTCACATGGTTAATTTAGGCAAATATTACACTTTTGTGTCTGCTCTCACATTTACTACTAGATCAAAATCCGTCCTGAAGATGTTCCTGCATTGCAGACAGGATCGTCATCACACTACCACGGCTGTATGGGTTAACAACAGGAAAGGAAAATCAGTAATAACACTGAACACTGAGGAACTGGATCAAATTATTCCCATTTACAACAAAGAATCCTGTGAAATGCATCTTCACCTGTCTGCGTTTTCAGGCTGTATAGAAACTGTATTTATGCAAAGACAAAAATAATTAAATAATGGTTTCTGAATAAATTGACCCTCTCTGGAATGTTTTCCTGTTATTTGATAAACAGTAACAGCAGTAGTCAAGCACTTGTCATGGGTGTTTTTAGGGAAAATATAATCACAATAAAATTCATTCTGAGATCTTTTCAGTGAAAAAAGGTTTCATTAAACACATCTATGAGCATTGGTCTGGATGGAAATGTGAAATGAATTGTACCAGTAACATCACAGCAAAATCAAAAGCAGTACTGAAATCCAGTCACCGAGGACAAGACAGAACTCATCATATTTGAAAGTTGACCACATACATGCACTAAATCTTTTCCATATTTCTCCAGAAATGGCTTTTTTTTCAGTCTCATCGCTTTATTTAACCTCTTTCCTTCCACTGTAGATGTGTGGACATTTTATCCTAACTGCACATCACCCTGCAAATATGACTTTTAGGTTTTTATCTACCTGTAGGTACAGCTGAAATAAAGTGTTTATGTATTTGTGTTATCATGACACAGACATGTATTTCTACATCTGCTCTTAATCTCTGTGGGTCTGTATAGACTTTGAATGACACAATCCATATTTCAAAGGATTCTGGGCTTACAATAGGGATGGCAGTCTGTTCTGATGGTGTGACGGGCAACGCTGTGCTCTGCTGCCCACTGCTGGTCATCTGTCTTACTGCAACACTTGGCCTCGTGTTTCAGGCAACTTTGTAGCAAGGAAACTACCTGTAGCCAGTGCACCAGCAGCAAATATGATGGGTACAGCCTTGGTGATCCCCACAAACGACTGGAAGATGCTGATGCCCAGGACAGCCGCCACCTTACAGAGAGCATTCAGGAAGCCAAATGCTGTGGTCCTGAACACAAGGAGAGAGGATACGGATTAAATGCCCAGGCCATATAAATTTAAAAGATACTGTTGCAGTGGTTTAACAAAATCTATCAGACAAAAAGTTAGCTTATTTACAACACTGCAAAGGGCTTTTTCTTCTCACAGACTCACAGAAAGACTAGTCACACAAAATAACATATGCGAAGTTATAGTTCACATTATTCGCTGCAGTAAATGTTTAATAAGTGTTGTGATTAACTGACCAGCTGAAGTTACAGGGCACCAAACATAAGAACTTTAAATCACTTTCATTAGAAAAAAAAAGTCAACACCTTTTGAGCATGTTTCTAAGACCTGAAAATTACTCTTGATAGATAGATAGATAGAATGTATAATGTATAGATACATTATAATTTCTTTTACAATACATTTTACATATGGGTTCCAGGTGGCATTTTGGGGTACTGCCACACAATATATCTTTACATTGATGACACATTAAGAGGCAGATATTTCTCTTATTCACTTGAGTGTTTCTGCCTTAAAATGTCAGCAACAGCATTATCTATAATTACCAAACAAAGCCTGGAAAAACATTGGCACTTCAGAGGTCAACAAGAGTAAAAGAATCACCTCAGCTCTTTGGGTAAATTTATTTACAATCGAAAAGGCTGTTCACTCTGCTGATGCACACCAGGTGATCACTAATCAACATAAACAAACACACCTGTAGCCCTGCAGGATGATCCATATGTCAAAAAAACCTACACCACAGATTCCCCACAGCTAGTTATGCTTCAATATGAAAACAAACAATTAAAAAACTGTCACAAGTTTGTGCATGAATAGAAACAAATGAAATGAATGTCGATGTCATTTTGTTTATCTTGACAGGGTTGTACTCTTCTTATCTGAATCTGAGCGAGAAAACAAACACAAAGAGCTTTCAGTAGTGAAAACTGCTGGTCTCAGGGTACCTTTTATCTGAGGGGTAGAGTTCCACTGTTATCACATCCAAGGCATTCCAGGAGGCAATGCTGATGCCACCAAACAGACACAAGAGGGCGATCATCCCTGACTCAGTGTTTCCGAAAATCAGGAAGAAACAGCTGACACAAGATATAATACTCGATCCCGCTATTCACAGAGAGGAAAGAGAATTACTTTCAGTCAGACAGCGGCTACGTTTGTACGTGAATTTTCTGCAGTGATTAGATTTACCTACCCAGCATCCTCAAACGCCCAATTTTGTCCATTAATAGTGCCGACACAATGTTGCCAGGCAACACTGCCAGAGTGCCAAGGAAGTTGACAAAGTATATCATGTAGGCATTGTTGAAATCATCGCTGAAGTCGAGCATGCAGCCCTCTTTGTTATGAAGAAACGTGCTGTTGATCAGTTTACAGTCGATAAACCTGTATTTAAACAAGTCTGATGCAAGAAAAAATAAAGAAAAAGCTGTTTTATAATTGTAATTCTCGATAAAAAGAATCTGAAAAAAATATGAATTCTCTCTACTTTTAGTTTTAGTTTGATATAGTGGCAGCCATCTAAACTGCCTTCACTTGTTACCATGCTCACAGAAACAAACTTAAAAGGAGCAAAGAGTAATTTTTGCCCAGGAATTTGCCTCTCAGGCATCATACCAGTTGCTCTTTTTTATTTATAGAGGTTTCTGGGGCTGTATGCAGCCTGAGAAAAAGACTTCAGACACTCTTCTCCTCAGGATATTTTCCAGGTAAAATCAAATAACATCTATGTTTTTATGTACTGTTAACTGCCTCATAAAAAAGGTTACTTTATCCTGTTTACACTGCCTGCAGCAGCCGAGAATGAGATGATTAGGTTTCCAGATGACACTTGTACAACTACTTCCTTACTAATACCAGTTTCATTGAGCATAAAAGTGCAGAATGATCATAAAAACTGAAAAGCACAAAATGACTGACTGGCTTCAGGGATGAGAAGATCCTGTTGTTGTAAAAGCCGCTGAGGCTTGAGGCTGTTAATGTGAAAGTGAAGATGCTTAGATTGAAACAAAATCTTTTGCGGCCTGGAACTGAATTGATGGCTACATTACATTAGCAGGGAACTTTTTTTTTTGGGTTTCTCAGATGCTTTCTCCAGTTCTAAATCTGTCAATTTGATTTAAAGCACAAGCAAGCACAAATCAAAACCATGCACGGTACAGCTACAGCTGCAAACTGCCTCTACACGCCAAACTCCTACCATGGGATGCAGCTTTCATAAAAGCAAATGGAGTTTTAAATGACTCCGTCTTTGCTGGTACATCACCAAAACAGCTCCAGAACAGCCATAAACATGCAAAATACAGGTAATTTTCAGTTGAGAAATAAGGAAAGAAAAATCTAATTTCACAAATCTGGGAAAAAGACAGAAGAAAAAAAACATGATGAGAGGGCCTGGGGATCCTGTAAGATCACAGTTTGTTTTTCCACTGTTTGTCAGTAAACGGGGCCTGTTGTTTTAGTTTTCTCTTTTGTTAGCTATTGTTAGCACAATGAGGAGGATGTGCTTATGGAGCAGATTAATAGTGATGGCTGTTAGATCACCGAGGTAACAAAGGGGACATACAGTAGGGATGCTGAGTGACCAAGGACAAAGATATAACACACATGTAAGTCTGTTTTGTGTCAACTTGCATCTAACAAGTTTTGCTTCTGATTATCCGGTGAACACATTCTTAAATCACCACCATCAAAAAGTCGGTCCCTGATTTGTTTACGCTGCTATGGTGACAGTTCGGCCGCAGTGTAACCCGGGGATACAAGCAACAGAGTGTTGCTATAGTTACGGTCCTGCTGGCCTACTCTGTTTTATAGTTTATCTATTTTTACTTCAGGCTGCAATGAGACTATTTAAAATTCATCTTTCAATGATTCATGTTTTTGTGGGGGAGCTGTACGACAACAGTATTGTGATCATTATCCTACATCCCTACGGTGCAATTAAAACCCATACTGAAACACTTAGTGCATGTGTACAGAGCAGATTTGCTGTTTTTCTCTGTTTTATATCCCTCTAAAGCTTCACCAGCTGATGTTTTTATACTAACAGTAGGTCAAATGACTTCAGGTATTATCAAAGGAGAAGTTATTAAATTATTAATCGCCTAACTCTGCAATTTTACAGATAGTCTTAGTGGAAATAGAACACTGTTCAAGGACAAAAACGTTTTAAAGTGAAAATACATTATTTTTGTGGTCAAAAAATTAATAAAGAGCTGAGTATCTTTGGGTTGTTGTTGGACAAAACAAGCTATTTGAAGACTTTTCCTTGAACTCCTAATGTCCGTGATGGGCTTTTTTTCACTTTTCTTTACATTTTGTAGACTAAATGATTAAAATACTTAAATACAGATAATATATAATAAAACACAAATATTTATCAACGGTACACAAACTGATCATAGTTAATAACTGACCGCCTTGGTGAAAATCATTACTGAACACTACTTTCTGCTGATTTTTACCTGTGTTATAGAACAAGCTTGCAATGAAGGTACAGTTTCTGAAGAAAGTGTGTGTGGAGGTGATATCTTCAAAGTAGCACTCCTCAAACACAGAGTCTTCGAACACCATGGACTTCAGCTTCAGGTTGAGGAACCTGGTGAACAGGTAACATTTTTATTTGTAAAATGTTCTGTGCTGTGGCATTAGATCTGACAACGCCACTGACCTAAAACTTACTTGTCATTGAAGTAGTGTCCTTGGCGATGCACTTGGTTTTCCAGGGTGAAGTTAAAAGTGACATGTTTCACTTCTTCCTTAGTGAAGGTCTTTGTCTTTGATTCATATTCCTGCTTCTGGATGTACTTAATCATGTCTGGGAACCACACCGTCAGGCCATAATAACTGCAAAGTCATCAGGACAGATGAAATAAACTGCAAAAGTGATCGTGGTTCACTGAATAATAACATAACACTGCAGTAGTCTTTAGTTTACCTGAAAGACATGGTAAACCAAACAGCCATGAGCATGAACGTTGTCCGTTTATATTCGGGGCTGAAGCAGGCAAGAAGGTTTTTCCTAATCTGCAACATGTGAACAAGAAAACATTTTATGAAGAAAGCTTGGGAGATACGTTTTAAACTCACAGTAAATGGCAAATCACAACATAGTTTACACAGACATTGCATATACTTTTATTGTAATCTGATGAGGTGATATTTCTGTGATATGTCTGAACAAGAATGTGCAATTTGTAAAGGTAGAATGGACTATAAGTATAGAAAGTAAAACTGGAATGCAACATAAAAACAGCCACACTTGTTTCCCAAAGCTTCTTCCTGTCAAAGGGCTCTACATGGACCCTCAGAGGCTTCCACTTGGTACTAGATTTTTGACTTCAGCACAGCATTTCAACATTTGTCAAGACTTTTTCAGTAGGAATTTAGAAGAAGATGGAGGTTGTAGGCATGTGTGTAACAGAATGAAGGCTGAATACAAATTAAAATTAGGCACAAAGCTGGCAAAGCATTCTGCCCAGTGAGAACACAAGTGCAAACGTGTGACAATAAAATGCAAATATAAAATTTATGTCAATGATTTAGTCATGGATGTAAAAAGATAACAATCATATAAAAATAGAAAAGGCTGTTTCCTTAAATTCAAATTTGGGAGGTAAAAATTAAATATAAAATTACTGTGTTCATCCAGAACTTAAAGGAATGATTACGATGGCATGATGATTTAAACGTTTTAGCTATGACACGGTGCCACCTACACTTGCATCCACACTGTTAATCTGCCAGCTCCACCAAAGCCTTTCACAGTCAGCTCCGAGCTGTTAAAGGCCGAAACTTCATGCTCTTGTATATTAGCTGTAATTCTGCAGGTTTAATGGGAGCAGCGATCTCAGGGACCTTTTATTTAATACTTTTAAAACTACACTGCAGACAGTTGTTTTCCATTTTAGTTCAGAAACAACTGCACAACAACACATTTATTTATCAAACATTCCCCACATGAGGCTACAAAGCTGTTTTATTATTAGTTTTCTCAGATTAAATAACTGATATATGTAAATTATACTCACCTGTTGGGAGAGGCTCATAATCTTCAGTCTGTAGCGTTTCCAGACTGGAGTATCAGTGCCAGTGTCCACCAGCTCATCCACCTGTTTCACCGTCTTAATTGTAGTGACCTTGGATGGAGACAAAAAAAGAGACAAATGTCCTTCAGAAAAAATGACTCCAGCCAAGACGTCATGGTATGAATTCTGATGGTGATCACCAAGTTGTTTTTTTTTAACTACTGTGAGATTTCCTGACATTCTTTCTCTGTCCACCAAAGAGGAATGCCAGGCAGATGACACAGTGAGAAGAAAAACCAGTTACAAAATGTGCCAAAAATGTTGAATAAAACAATCTGAGTGGTTGTTGTTTTTCTCAGAGATACTCACAGAGAACACCTTCTCTGGGTATCCTTTTGCACGCATGTTTGTGTCATGAACTAGCTTCAGAATCATCCAGCCTTCGTCATGTTTGCCATTCTGTTTTGGAAAAAGTAAAGGTCATAATGTTAACAGCATGTAAGTGTATCTGTATGTGTTTATCCCATTGATTTAATGTTTGGAAGAAGAGATCATCTTTACCATGAGATTTCATATTTCATTTCAGGTACCGTGTTGGCATTCACTCTTATGTATGACTAATACAGTCAGAAAGAAACATCTGCTAACCTCTAAGTAGAAGCGTGGGCTCTCTGGCATGGCGTTGAGAGCAGCGATGGCTGCAACAGAAGGAAATGCACACACTAATACAAACACACGCCAGCTATGGAACTGGTACGCTGAGCCCATCTGGAAACTCCATCCTGAGAAGACAAAAACAAACTCAAGTCAAGGTCAAACCATGTATCTTTTAAAGCACAATCAAGAATATACAGTATTTAATTTGATGTGACCCATTATGAATCATCCATCCATCCATTTTCTTCCACTTATCCGGAACTGGGTCGCAGGGGCAGCAGTCTAGGCAAAGATGCCCAGACTTCCCTCTCTCCAGACACTTCCTCCAGCTCCTCCGGGGGAATGTCGAGGTGTTCCCAGGCCAGCCGAGAGACATAGTCCCTCCAGCGTGTCTTGGGTCTTCCCCGGGGCCTCCTCCCAGTGGGACATGCCCGGAACACCTCCCTTGGAAGGTGCCCAGGAGGCGTCCGAAACAGATGCCCGAGCCACCTCAGCTGGCTCCTCTCGATGTGGAGGAGCAGCAGTTCTACTCTGAGCTCCTCCCGGGTGACCGAGCTCCTCACCCTATCTCTAAGGGTGCGCC